TCTTGCGTGCTTGGCGCGAAATATCATCGCATCTCTTGAAAAACAAAAAAAACTTGAAATGATTAGCGGAGTAAATATGGTACCAAATCGACAGTTCTAGAATGTTAAAGTTATATAGTGTATAAATTATACAATTCATTTACAGACTGATTGCACCATGCCAAAGACATGCAATTTTTAATAATTGCGGAGGTTAGTTTTTTTTATTACTTCATTGTTTTATAAATGCATCAGTTTGTTATCTTGTACTTTTATGCCATGTGTATGTGTGCTTTTACTTTATAACTTTTACTTATTAACTATTTTCAAAACGTGTTTGCTGTATTTTTGACACGATAACCTAATAACAATGTAAATTTGTCGCATTATCTTCCTAAAATATAAGCTTTGTTTTTTTAGTTGACCTTTTTGTACCATTAATTTAATTTTTTTTCAACGTGAAAAGAAGAGAGGAAGGATGAAAGATGCAAGAAATTCAATTAAAAAGAACAAAGCTGAACACGTATTAATAATGAATGAATAGGCTTAAAATGAGATAGAGAGAAATAGGTATATATTGAATGATATATATTGATATAGATATATATTGAAAGATAGAGAAGAATAGATATACATTGAATGATATCCAGTTGCCGACGTTGCCACACACATACACACACACACACACACACACACACACACACACACACACACACACACAATTGACAAGTTTAGCAAAATTGAAAATTTTAATGTATTCCAATGCAGCACAACAAAAAACATATTTGTTTGCATTCCTGTGTCAGACTTATATAGAGGAACAAATGAATTTATAAAATGGAACACCAAAAGTAATATACATATATATATAAATGAGATAAAGGATATAGAAAAAAAAATTATGAAAGTATAAAATTAATTTTATTGTAATTTAAATTTAAATTAATTAAGTAACATCATTTTCAATCGTATTTGTAACTTATGTATAAATATATTGTTGACATATAATAAAACATAAATAGCTCTTCCATGTATTGAATTGCAATATAAAGATAATGATTTTGTATTTAAAAGGTTTTAAATGCATCATTTACAATTAAAATCGATATTTTTAAATCATGAAAATTAAATACAAAGCTCATTATTTATTTAAAGAGTTCCATGATCGTGTATTATGTTTTTTTTCTCTTTAAATGCAAAATCTGCTGTTTTAGTTATTCACTTACTTTTTTTCATGTTATGGCTTCCAGCTTACTTTTTTTCATGCTACGGCATTATTGCATGTTCCAATCAATTTGCATTTTGTTCAAGTATTTATTTTTTGCACTTCTTCACCATTGTGCTGTGCAATCTCATTGTTTGCAATTTTTCTAAAGTTAAAGTATAATTATGAAAAAAATAAATATATAATTTCTTAATCTTATTTTTATCCGATTAAACACCCAGGTAGCACATGTTCGTTTTATATACGTTTCTTAAACGTATTCAATATTTTTTAACCGTAATGTATAAATAAGAAACGTTTCTATAGAAACGTTTTTAAAATCATAGTTAAAGAAACGTATGTTTCACGTTTCTATGGACATAATAAAAACTAATTTTTAATTCATTTCAAATTAATTTTAAATTATGTATATATATATATATATATATATATATATATATATATATATATACAATAATTATGAAAACTATATATTAATTTCTATTTCCAAATATATGAATATTCCTTTTTTTAAATATATTATTTATTAATTATATTAATTATAATTCAATTATTTTAATTAGATTAAAATATATACATTCATATTTCAGATTTTATGGTAACAGCAACTCTCTCTCTCTCTCTCTCCCTCTCTCTCTCTCTCTCTCTCACTCTCTTTCTCTTTCTCTCTCTCACACTCATTCTCTCTCTTTTTCACTTTCCTCGTTGTCTTATTGCAAGATATTCCACTATCTTCCGCTTATAGTAAGTGTTTGCAACGATCATAAAATCTTCGTTGCTGTTTAAAGAATATATAGTGCTTGTAAACATTGTAAATAGTAAGTAAACTATGGAATACTTTGAGTGAAATACGGAAAAGTGTTAAAAAGAGCAGTGAGGTTATAATCGATTCACGTGTTAGATCATAACACATATAGGTTATGTTGATTAGAAAACACCGACTACACAGTGAAATCCGTAGAAAGTACAAAGTATTAATTAATATAACATACACACGGATATATATATATATACATATATATATATATATATATATATATATATATATATATTTTATTACACTTCTGTAACAAATAAGGTAAGTTATATATGATTTAATAATATATTTGATGAATGAGTTAAATTACGTAATTTCATGATATATTTCTATATACATACAAAAAACACATTTTTTAATGACAATGAGATGTGAATTAAATATCATTTTACATGTAATATATTTTACATTTAATAAGAAAATATCAATTTGCGTGTAATATCTGATTGACATTTCACATTTTCTACTATGTAGGGATATATTAAAAACTTTTACAATATTATATATTATTAATATTATATATGTAATATTATATATGAATATTATATTTTAATATTATATATTATTCAAATTATTTTACAAAATTATATATTATTCTTTTGTTCCTTAATTATAATGCTTGTAATTAATGTTTCCAGGAAATAATATATCCAGAATATAAGTATTTGGCCGTATATTATACATATATACATATTATTAGATACATTATATAATATTATATACATTATATACATATATATTATATTTTAACTCATTTAAAAAATAATAGAAAAAATTCTCAATTGTTTTTAAATATGAATATAATAAAAGAAACTAAATTTCTTAGTAAAAAGCAAACAAAAAGAAATATACAAAACCAAGTCCAGGAATTATTAAATGAATTTAATCAGGCAAAATCAATATCATATTCAATTACCGATGAACCATCAACATCACATTCAGTTATCGATGCACATTTTGAATCAAACGTAGATCAAGATTCGGAATTGAATTTAGATCAAAGATATAATCAACAGAATAATGAATTCGAAGACAAGGAATTAACTCATAATAATGAATTAAAAAACAAGAAATTATTTAATGAAACCTCTAATATTACATGTGAGACATTTCAAGAACTATATGTCAGTGAAGAACATGATTCTTCAGAGTGTGAATCATTATCTGATGATTTCCTAAATAAATTGAGGAAGTGGGCTCTAACACATAACATTACACTATCAGCATTAGATGACTTATTGTCATTACTAAGTCCATATCACTATAATATACCTTTACCATTATCTGGAAGGTCTTTGTTATACACTCCAAGAACTACAAATTCAATTGATTTGCAAAATGGAAAATTTACTTATTTTGGTATATATGATCAGTTGCATCTTCTATTAGAGAAAGAACCATGCTCAAAAATAATTGATTTAGATTTTAATATTGACGGTTTACCCTTGTTTAAAAGTAATAGCACGGTTGTCTGGCCTATTCTTTGTAGATCATTAACTTTAATTTCATCAAATAAACTATTTATTGTAGGTTTATTCACTGGCCGAGGAAAGCCAGAACCTATTGACCTTTATTTACAAAATTTGATACACGAACTTAATAATATATTAAAGAATGGTATTGAAATAAGTCATAAATTATTTCAAATTAGAATTAGATCTTTGATTTGTGATGCTCCTGCACGAGCTTTTCTAAAATGCTGTGTAGGTCATAATTCTAGGCATGGATGTGAAAAATGCAATATTGAGGGAGAATATATTAATCATAAAATAATTTTTTCATATAAAAGCGGACAACTTAAATCAAAAGAAACTTTTATTGAACAAATACATGAAGAACATCATAAGGGAAGATCTCCATTATTGGATCTAAATGTAGATTTAGTGAGTCAATTTCCATTAGATCCTATGCATTTAGTATATTTAGGAATAATGAAAAAATTGCTGATATTATGGACATTAAAGGGGAAACCTCCTTTCAAATTATCTGGAAGAATCATTAATAATTTATCGGATAAATTAATTTCGTTACGTCCTTATATAGTTCGTGAATTTTCTCGAAAACCTAGACCTATATCGGACTTAAATCGATGGAAAGCAAATGAGTTTAGATTATTTTTATTATATATTGGTCCAATTTCTTTAATAAATATTTTGCCTAAACAACTTTATAATCATTTTTTAATGTTTCATGTTGGTATTACAATTTTGAGTAATGATAATCATATTTCTAAATATATTAATTTTGCAGAAGAAGTTTTGTATAATTTTGTAAAGTATTTTGAAAAATCTTATGGGAAAGAAGTAGTAACATATAATGTTCACAGTTTAATTCACTTAGTAACAGATGTGAGGAATTTTGGTAATTTAAATACAATTAGTTGCTTTCCCTTCGAAAATTATTTAGGAAAATTAAAAACACTTGTAAGATCATCCGCAAATCCTCATGCACAACTTTGTAGACGTATATTCGAATTATTTTATTGTTCAAAAACTGAATTATCAATAACTAAATTAGAGCCTAAGCAAAAACATTTTAAAGGACCTACACTTAGAGGTACAACTGATTTGATTTTACAGTACAAGAAATTGAAAACGCCGACATATATTTTGACAGTTTTTTCACCTGATAATTGTGTTTCAATGGAAGGAGATATCATTGTTCAGATAGTAAACATTCTGTGCTTGAAAGATCAATTTTATTCCTTAATTTGTCGTCGATTCCTAAAAGTTTCTGAGTTTTATGATTATCCATGTTCATCGAAATTATTGAACATTATTAAAGTGTCTCACATATCATCTAATATAGAAGAATTTCCTTTTACATCAGTAAAATATAAAAACATGTTATTGCCCGGAAATGAAAAAGGAACTTATATTGCCTTTCCTCTTCTTCATGAATTATAATACATTTATTAATCTTAATTAATTAATCTTTTTATTTTATTATATATATTATTGTATATATTTGTACTATGTATATGTATATATTATATATTATTTTTGGGCGAAAAGCAGTGTTAATTTTTTAAACAATGTAAGTTTATAAATTTGTTTAAAAAGATTTTCAAGCTAGAGAGAGATTTATAATCATATAAAAGCTTATATGTTTTATTTTATTTTATTGAAATTTAAAGTTAGTTTTTATAAAAAAATATTTCTGTGCAATATTGATTTTATATTTAAGAATTTTGACTTGACGAAATGGACTCATTTATTTTTTTACATTTTATTATTTTTTCAGATTATGTATTCACTAATAGAATTTGCAAATGAACAAAAACCTGAAGTTGAAGTGGTCCCTAATATTTGGTTAGAAAAAGAGAAGGAAATATGGTATTGTTTTTGGCCTCAAACAATTTCCACCAAACAAATTCGTAAGGCTATCGAAAAATGTTACTTACCGGACAAAAATTGGATAAAGTATAAATGCAGAATATTGCATACATATGGTAAATTTTTTGACTTTATTTTTTTATGAAAAAGTAAAAATATTTATACTTTTTCTTCATTTATACTGTTTATTATATCAATATTTAACATATATCGGAAATTTCATCTACGTATTTATTAAATCTCTTGTTTTTTTTCTCAATATATACTACATATTCCTCTTTTTTTTTATAATGTAATTTTATTATGTACTGTCGGAGATTAGTATTGTGTATATTTGCAATATACAATTTTTTTATAAAATATTTACGAGTATAATTTTCATTTTTTATTATACATGCTTTCAATTTTTGAATTGATGATATTGGATTTTACATTATTTAAAAAATTTATAATTTACTATTTCATTATTATTTTAGCTTCTTACGATGATGCGAGGAAAAAATTAGTAGATGCTGAATTTACATCTACTTTAGAAACTGATGTAGAATTGCAACCAACTATTGAATACCAACGGCCAAAAAGAAACGTGAAAAGACCTTTCCGACTTTGTTCGGATTCTTCAGATTCTTCAGAAATTGAAGAAACATCATGCAAAATCCCATCTCTTCCTACATTAAAAATAACACCTACAGAAAATAGTAATATTTTATCGAAAAAATCTATAATTACTTCATACAAACCATCAACATCGACAGCCGATATTAACAATTCTTCACAATATACATCTAATATTACAATTAGTCCTTCAAGATCTTTAGAAAGAATAATTAGTTTTCCACAGAATATAGAATTCAGAACTATCTCTCCTCCTACATTTAAAATAACATCTACAAAAAATAATATTTTATCGAAAAAACCTACAATTGCTTCATACAAACCATCAACATCGACAGCCGATATTGACAATTCTTCAAAATGTACATCTAATGTTGCAATTAGTCCTCCAAGATTTTCAGAAAGAGCAGTTAATTCTCCACAAAAAAAAGAATTCAGAACTACATTGACCACTTCAGAATTCCACAAATCAGGTAAGATATTAAACTTTTTTGTATGTACAAAATTATTGCAATAATATTAGTAATTATTAAAATTATCTATAGTTTAACAATAACTTTGCTCTTGAAATAATGTATAAAATAATATCCTGAATAATCTGCACTTGGATCTATATAAAAGTCGGTTCTCTTCAATAATTGTGCTTAAATTAATTAAGTATCAATTTTACGTATTGGTTGAATATTTATATACTATTCCCACGTACTGTGCAATACTTACCATTCAATTTCTCTATATTATATATTTTTTATATTACATTTTTTTATACTTCTACAGTCAGGAGCTACTCTTATGAAATTAAAAACTAGTTTACAATTCATACACACACACACACTTTCGAAATATATTAAAATAAAAATAATTTGACCGATAAAGAGAATAATAACAGTGAAAAAATAAATTAATTTTTCTATTTTTTAAAAGCTCTAATATAAAATGTTATTTCTAGACTTCCCTTATCTCATTCTAACAAAATTAATGAGCTTAGAAAATTCTATGAACTTGCTTCTTCCGATGGTCAAACAACTTGTATCACATTTTCAAAAATCAAAAATACCCCATATGGAAAATGTTCCTGAACTACCAGTTGACACCGATGAACATTTGGAAAATATGGAAAGATTTTTAGATACAAAACAAAATTTTGAATATATGGTAAATATAACTCATTAAGTCGCTTTTATAAATTTTCTCATTTTTTTTTCTCTTTTAATCTATTTTTTTATTAAATTAAGATTATCATTGTTCTTTTTAAGATTGAATATTTTATCTGTATCTGGTGGTACAACGATTGTACAGATAACAAGAAGAACATTAGAAAAAGTAATAACAAATAATTATGCTAAGAAATTTAATTGGGCAGGAAGAGCACCTAAAAAAGCGTTCAAAGCTTTAAAAATAAAAGATTTGATTATAGGTTTGTACTTGTTTTAAGCATTCAGTCAGCATTAATAATATTTACTAAATGTGTTTATTATATGCCTATACAGCATAGAATATTGTAGCAATATTATTAATATTGTTACAACGCTGCAATATTGCCACAATACTGCTGCCAATATTCTATAATATTCTATAATATATAATATTGTATAACTACTGTGTAATTATAAGATACTATATACTATATAATAAATAAATACTATATAATAAATAATTATAATATACTATAATAATACTATTATATATTTTGTATAATTTTCAGCTACCGTAAGACATGTTGAACCAAATGCTGCAATAAACACAATTGAAAATTCTATCAAAGATTGGTTGAAGTTGTCATCTACTCGTGTCGCTTTAGCAGAAATTAGGGCATTAAAGACATTTCAGCAACAATAATGAACTGAAAAAAGCAACAATAATGGACTGAAAAAAAGATTCATCAGATCTCAAAATACTCATAATAACCTCATAATATCCTAGCTATGTTATGTTGAGATTTAATTATAAGTACAGAAAAAATAATTTATGTTATGTTGAGATTTAATTATAAGTACAGAAAAAGTAATTTATGTTATGTTGAGATTTAATTATAAGTACAGAAAAAATAATTTATATTTATGAAAAAACTAAAATATTTATGTTAATTTTATAAAATTTTATTTGTTTTAATTTTTTAATTTAATTTTATATCATTAAATATCTTAATTAATTAATTTTTTTATACACAATTTTACACACATTTTAATTTGTTGATAAATATAATTATAATGTTTAGTTTTTTTTTAGAATTTAATTTAGTCACATAAATCTAAGAATTCCATTAATGAAAATTACTTATTAAAAATTTATTTAAATACTTTATGTGATATTCAATTGTAACACTTTTTATTATAACGTTGCAGAAAATATATTATTTAATTTCAAATTAAAGTCAAATAAATTATTGCATTTATATGACTATATATATATATATATATATATATATATATATATATATATATATATATATATAAAGGAAAAAGAAACATTTTTTTCTTTTATTCGTGAAAAGTTTTTTTTTTATGGAATTAATAAAATAATGCATTTATATACACACATATACATACACATTTGTTTAATGAAATTATATAAATCATTAATATATATATGTGTGTGTGTATGTATATTAATGATTTATTTAATTTCATTTAAAAAATGTGTGTGTATGTGTGTATTAATGCATTATTTTATTAATTCCATGAGAAAACAAACTTTTCATGAATAAAAGAAGAGAACGTATTTTAACCGTTTTTTAAACGTTTTTTTTTTGCCAAACAAGAAACGTATCTCTTAACGTTTCTTGAGTGGACATTTTAACCAATCAAAAACGTTTGCAAGAGTCGGTTATGAAACGTTTCGAAGAAACATTTGAGAAACGTTTTTGAAACGATTATGTGCTACCTGGGCACATATTACGTTAAATGCTTGCTATCAAAAATAAGTAATCGTTCATATAATTAATTTAAAATAATAACAAATTTCAGCTTGGGTCATCCATCTCGTTTGATCAAACGACCAAAAAAATACATGACTACTTCATCATCAGGTGAAGTTAATACAAATCGAAATAATTGTAGTCTTGATCAGACTATCGACATCGTTAATGATATAAATGAAATAAGAAATCAATTAAACATTAATAAAGGAAAGGAAGCTGGTAATATCAGCACTCAGTATAATAACTCTTCTTCTATGACAAACAATTCTCCAGTCCAAATCATAAATTCAATGGAGCAGTCATATAGTCTGATAAATGTCACTGGAGTTTTTGAACAGCATTCAATACCTCAAAAAACATATACGGAATTATTACCGTTGAGATCTACATCAAGTTTTAATGTAAGAGCCATTCCAGAATGTGTTGTAAATGTCCCGTTGCTAGTTGCCAACCCAGATAACATTCCTTGCGCGCAAAGTTTGCGCGTCTTATGTATATAAACTGTGTACGCGGTTTGCGTGAGTTTTGCCCGCAAGTTGGTTAAGCTCATGTACACCAGCGAATCACATGCAAATGGATACCATATGCTAGCGTTTTGCGTACATATCGCTCATTGAGTTCACGCGCAAAATGTGCTAGCGTTTTACTACCGCTATGACGACGCACTGGGATAGGGTTTTGCTTGCGCGATATGAACCATATTTGTGCGCGACTTGCTAGATATTTACGTGCAAAATGTTTTCTGGGAAACCACTGTGATTCAATTATAATTAGCGTTGAACTAGCTTGACGTTAATTGGATCGCAAATGGCTTGGCAACTGGCAACGGGACATTTGTAACGTTTTTTGGGAATGGTCCTAATTATGACTGAAAATAATTCTACTTTTCTTCATTTCACTTCAAATCCACATGTGCATGGAAATTTCATTAATATTATTTATATCTTTTAGGAACATTCTTTTCCAAATACTTCATGGACTTTTCCAAATACTACACTATATGGATTTTTTATTCCACAAAATAAAACATATCATCATGAGGTCACAATGACTACTACATCTACAATAACATCTTTACAAGCGAGTCAAGCAACATATGAACAAAGTTCTTGCGTTACGACAAGTATAAATCAACAGGATCCTACTCAATTAAGACTTGCAACACGTATTCATTCAAGCAATTTTGGTCACAGCAACAATGAATCACAAGAAATAAGGTTATACTTATCACACACATGCGAAATATGCAATTATATGTATTAACGTTTTTGAATGTAAATAAGATATATTTTAAAAATTTTATTTTAGGCGTTTGCACGAAAAGTTAAGTGATGTTGTCTCAAAGGAAGAGTTCCAGTAAGTTGATTAATTTGCAGAAATTTTTCAGCTTTCGCCAGATAATATTGATAAATGTTATTTTTATAATGTTTTCAGTAATAGTTATTTAATAAAATAATAAAATGTAAAAAATGTAATTAATATAAACTGAATAAACTTATATAATATAAAACTGAATAATACAAAATTAATAAGCAAAGCAAATATCGTAAAATTAAGATACTAATTTTTATATCACATACGTTTTTTACAGTATCATCTATCGAAAGCTGTTTTGAAAATACAATTTGTGACATAATCATTTCATATTTATCTTAAAAAACAATTTCATATTTATCTTAAGAAGCAATTATCTCTTTGTATTCATGTAAATATAACATATACTTTTAAATTGTCATTTCAGATGCCTACGCAATGAATTGATTGAATATCAGCAGTGAGTAAATACTTTATTTAAGAACTGTATAACGCAGTGCTAATTGTAATTTTTGTTGTGGGTTTTTAATGTGTTTTTTTATTTATCAAGTAGCATATAGAATCACGAATTAACGATTTCATAAAATTTTTTTAGTTTAATCCTGCTATGAATGTAAATTCATATATCACATATCTCTTTAAACTCTTCCATATTTCCTCCATCAAATATGTGTGTATGCATATATATGTACACATTTGTGGCATACATACTATATGTATTATTAAAATGATTGCATTCCGACATTGACTGTCAATACTGAAAACATATAGTTTGCCACATCCAATAAGCAAGTAAATTAAATTAAGTAATTAAATTAATATATTATGAAATATTAAGTTTATGTATATTTTTTGAACATTTTTCGATAATTATATATATATATATACCGGGTGTTTCAGACCACCCGTACACCCCATTTTAAAGCAAAGGAAGTGGTTATTTTGAAAAATGTTTCAGACAAAAGTTGTTGAAGATAAAGTAATGCATTACATGGGTAAATTTGATTGACCTTGGGTGGCGTCGTGAAGGTCATGTCAAGGTCGACTTGAATTTTTTAAATGGGAACCCCTATTTTTCATTGCATATTCTTGTAGCTTATCTCGAGAGCTTTCCAAAACACTATAATTAAGTACCTTTTTATTAAGTACTTTTTGAGTTATAAGGCTTGAAATAATTTCTTAATTTTATATAAACCATAAAATATCTAGTAAACCATTCATTTTTCGATTATCTTACCTTCATACTTTTATGTACAAAATAATGAGAGGAATCAATTGGTGTAAAGAAAACACATAGTTGTTTCTAAGAAAAAATATGGAATTGTTAATTGCAAATTACATATTTTTTCTTAGAAACAACTATGTGTTTTCTTTACACCAATTGATTCCTCTCATTATTTTGTACATAAAAGTATGAAGGTAAGATAATCGAAAAATGAATGGTTTACTAGATATTTTATGGTTTATGTAAAATTAAGAAATTATTTCAAGCCTTATAACTCAAAAAGTACTTAATAAAAAGGTACTTAATTATAGTGTTTTGGAAAGCTCTCGAGATAAGCTACAAGAATATGCAATGAAAAATAGGGGTTCTCATTTAAAAAATTCAAGTCGACCTTGACATGACCTTCACGACGCCACCCAAGGTCAATCAAATTTACCCGTGTAATGCATTACTTTATCTTCAACAACTTTTGTCTGAAACATTTTTCAAAATAACCACTTCCTTTGCTTTAAAATGGGGTGTACGGGTGGTCTGAAACACCCGGTATATATATATATATATATATATATATATATATATATATTTATTTATTTATTTTGCGACGTCTTCTCCTTCTTTATTCTATTTTTAATTGATTAAAACGCCGTCAAACACCAGATGAATATAAGATTTCCGCGCTCGGAGGAACAGGGATGAAGGATGCTCGCGCGGGCCGCGGCGGAGCGGAGGCAATTCGATATCTCGATAGGTTGGGCGCCAGATGCGGTCTTTCACGCATCAGTTTTCCACGAAATTTTTAAACAGCGCGAAAGATGATAGCCTGCTTCGCCACGGGCTGACTAGCTCGCCTAACGGTAGAGGGGAGGGGTTCTTAGAGCGAGCCAATTAATTATGCGGAGATTTCACTAATTCGATGGGCGACAGACACAAAAACGGATATCGACGACCACAGGGGACTAACATTCAAGTAAATTACGCGAATTTAACAAGGCAATGTAACAGATTTATTAATAGAAAAATAATAGACGAGAGAAAAATATAAAAGCCAAATTGAATGACAAGTCAGATTGAAAACGAGATTAACAATAACTTCGATTAAAGATAAGCGAACGAAATATATAATCAAAAATCAAAAATGACACGAATAATAAGACGCTGTTCACAGCAAATGTTGGCTTGAGATAACCAATCGAAAAGAAAGCGCTAAGACTTTATAATGACGACAAACAGAGTCAAATATGCAAGACTTTATAGTGACGAAGGACAAAATCAAATACGTGAGATTTTACAATTACAGTAAACAGACTCGAATGCGCGAAACTTTCTCATTACGGAGAACAGCGAGAAGCGCACCGAACATTACAGTTACGGAGAACCGAAAGAAGTGCGCGAGCTCTTGCAATTACGGAGAACGGAAAGAAGCGCGCGAGCGCTTACGATTTCGGAGAACCGAACGAGGCGCGCTATTGCGAGTACGAAGAACAGAAAGAAATACAAGATCTTATAATTCGAAAACGGAAATGAACACTTAATACGTTATATTTAATTGCCGTAACAAAAATAACGCCAAGACGAGGTAACGTACTGAAAGAACGGCAATATAATCTGGTCAGTCAGAGCGCAGAATTCGCGTATCGAAATGATAAGACGCTCCCGCCGGTGCATGCACGGCACGGCGGGTGTCGACAGCTTGCGCCTCCGACAGCCGATTGTTCGCACGTCCGCGGTCGACGGACTGCGAGTCGCAAAAAAAAGAACGCACGTAGAGAGAGATGGTCGAGAATCGAGGTCCGCTTTGATCGCGCAACTTCCGGTCCGCTGCAACAATTTTTAAGGTACTCACTCTTTCCAGTCGAGAGGGGTCGTCTCGTTATGAACCGCCTCTGTGAACGCTCTCTCAAAAATTTGCCGTTCAAGCGGTCGCGGAACTTTTCCCCTGGAGTGGCGGTCGACAGGCACCTCCGATCGGTCGGAGTCGCTCCACTCCGACCGGCGATAGCCTCGATTTAAAAATTCTACACTAACGCGCGTCACACGGATAACGGAGAGGCGAACGAGTATATCGGGTGAGACCGATCGACGGATCACTGTCGCCCCTTGACTACGGTCGCACTCAACTTCTTTTCACTACCGTGAAGTTTACGCAAACGAAACACTAATCGCGACCGGCCAGAGGGGTCGACCCACGAGTCGTATCGGTGGACGGCGTACAAATTTTCGTAATTATACACGAAGATAGCCGGGTGACCTCACCGTTGAACTCTCCACTCGTGGTTTCCGCCAATTCGTCTCCTTCCGTGCAGAGCGTCCGCGATACTCTCTATTAAATTTCGCCGAAAATCTCGAAGAACAAGTCTCTCTTTCTCTCGAAATCGCCGTATTTATTCCTAGCTATTTGCCCCGCACCCCATCGAGAGGGGTGCTAGGCCCGTTCTGGCGCGCTCGGATTTTCGAGCGTGGCGCAAGGGCGCATCGTGCGCCCGCGGTCCCGCGCCTCCGACGGTCCGCTGCTCCTGTGCGTTTTTCAGCGCCAGGTGGTCGGGAATTATCCCGTCAGGGCCGATTTTTGTTGCCTCTGTCACTCTCCAGTGGAGGGTAGCGATTTTCCGGATTTTTCCGATGAGGTTTAGCCCCTTCGCGGGGTGCTTGCGGCGCCCGTCATAGCCGGCCGGCCCTGGGATGCTGGGCTGATGGACCGAAATTGTGCGAAGCTGATCGAGTATCGCCGACCCCTGTTTTCCACGGCCGATGTTTTGATCGGTGATGATTCGGCAAGGTTGCTTTTCTTGTAGACTTCCAGGTTATTCTTCGTTGAAGATTTATGGCCTCCGAAACAATATAATTTCGACAAATAGGATTAGTAACAATACTTTTGATTACAAACGAATGCGCTCGCCTCTCTGAAAATCCCGGCGGGGCTCTCGATTTCTCGACCGGCGCGGCCGCTCGGCTCGCGTCACGCGGTCTTTTTGGCGGGTGGACGTCCGTCGTGACGGCAACGTCACAGTGTGTGTGTGTGTGTGTGTGTGTGTATGTATAAAAGTAATGCGAGAATATGTGAGGAAGCGAGAAGGTAATAAGAGCGAGTGAAATAATAATAAGAGTGAGTGAAATAACAATAAGAGCGAACAAGATAGAAATAGCACGAGCAACGAGGATTCGAGCTCGAGAATCGGATTTTTCTTGCGCGCTATTATTTTCCTCTCGCTCGCTCCTATTACTGTCTCGCTCTCTCCTATTATTGTCTCTCTCGTTCTTGTTGCTGTTTCGTTCGTTCTCGATTCTTGGGTCCTTTTATCATTCCGGGCTATCTATCACGACTGCCAAGTGTGACAGAGAAAGCAAGACCATAAATAGAGAGCGAGCGAGACGATCTATCATCAAAGAGTTCCAAAGTCTCTTATAATCGGTTTCTTCGCTTCCTCTATCCATTCGCAATTCATGAAAATGTAAACATCTTATAAAATAAAAATTGAAACTTTTATTTTTAATTTCATCGGTTTGAAAATAATTTTAATGAATTAATGAGATTTTTGCGATTAAAATGACACCAAACACGATATAAATCGGATAATTTTGAATTAGTCTAATAATAAAAATTTTTCTTACATTTAACTGTCCGATTTATATCGAGTTTGATGTCATTTTAATCGCAAAATTCTCATTATTTCATTAAAATTATTTTCAAAACAAATAAAACGCATTTTATTTTTTATAGTAGATGACATATATTTGTGAAATGTTATAGAGAAAGGGAATCTTGCGTAAGAGATTTCGAAACTCTTTTTACGATACATCATCTCTCTTGCTCTATTCGTTCTCGCTCTCGCTTTCAATGATATCGGGAATTTTTTCGTTATGTAACGATGCACCCTGTGCACCCCCTAAAGCGCATCGTTATTCCCGGCATGCGATCCGCCGGAAGCTGCCGCCCGGCGGAACATCCGCCGGGCAAAGGCAGGGGCGCGGTGCGCCCACATTTTTAAACGTCTTAAAAATCTCGAACGGCGTTAAGCCGTTAATTGTCGAGCCGGAAAACACCGGAGATTGCCGAGGCGCCCCAAATCGCCGACCGGCGAAAGCCCGCGTTCGGCGCAACACCCGAACCTCTCCGAACGGGCCCGACCGTACCGTTTTCCCGAAACCCGTTCGGAAGGGGTAATGCCGCCGCACGCCGACGCGTGGGTAATTAGCCGGTATAAAAAAGGCATAATGGCAATCTAATCACCTTTTCCGATTCCGATCACGCAAGTGAAACGTCTCGCAATCCAGAAACTGCTCCTAGCACAAGCCCAGTGCCGGATTTACACATACGCTAACTACGCTGAAGCGTAGGGCGGCAGATTTTTGGGGGCGGCAAATTTTTGAAGGCAATATTTGGTAAGCATGTGTGGAGATGATAGGAATTAGGAATTTGTAACATATTTCAGGAACGATAAAAAATAAGTAGACACAGAC